TGATTTACACAGAAATTTTTGAACACGTTTCAGCGGTTTAGAAGTACTATTGTCTTGTGTGTTGCAGTAGTATCGGGTTGCGACGAAATTTCGCACGAACAAATACGGGGTATACAAATATTTTTGCTACGAAGGTCGGTCCTCACGACCAAGACTACAACGTTCGGTCTAGCGAAACGGGAGAAGGGGAAAGAATAAAGTTGGGACAAAAGGACGAATTTATTTACCCGTAAAAACGAAACGGTCTCTCCAATAAGTCCTCGGCGTGAAAAGGAACGGATACAGAAAAATATACCTCGGGGGGTCCATTTTTGCTGAGAGCGCATTTTCGATAATGATTTTCTGATTTTTTGTTAAAATTTTCTCTCTTCTTTCGGACCACTCAGAGAACGGTGCGAGACACTTTTGTACTCTTTTGTCAGAGAGATTTTTGTGTTTTACCTGTGAACAATTTTTGTCCTTCTAATATTCCTCTATTTTCTAATGTCCGCTTACCGTGCACCATTTAAGAGGTGACCTCAGTCCGTCGATGAAAAATTTACGCCGTCCGCAAAACGTCATATTTCAGGAACGGAGTCACGTAAAAACGAACCAGCAGACAATGTACAAGTACACGGATCACAAAATGAACCAGTCGAACCGGCCATCAGTACACGAGGCAACCAAACGCTGGAACTCGTCCCCCGGCCAGGAGTCGCAATAGGCTTCGGGACCGAGTCCATCTAGGGGCCCTTCCCCCAGACGACCCAGGCCGACTCGGACAAGGGGACAAGGCATCGGAGGAATCAGAAAAACAGTAGTCTCCCCCTCCCTAGACCGACGGTCTCAACGTCCAGGAGCGCGTCGGTGGGCGCCTGTCTCACGTCTGGGCTCCGTCCGTCTCGGTTCCGGGCGCGTAGCGAGTCGAGGCCGGGGTGACTAGGTGGTTGACACCTTCGCGGTCCCAGAACCTAGCCGTGTCGCCGGTGGCAGTCCGCCCGGCAAGCGACGACGACTCAGGTTGGACCGCAACACTTAGCGTCTCCGAAGAAAGTTTGTTGGTCATGTCTCTCAGTCAAGAGGAAAATACCAATTTTTCCCGGGATTCTAATTTTTGTGGGACTGTTTTTCCTCAATGGGTGAATGAAATTTCCAAATTTAGACAATATATTACAACGTCGTAGTCGGGGTCCGGAGATGAGCAGGGCTCTCACGTCGACACGAGTGTAAGAAGTTTGTGGTTTAGTCGGGCGCCCGGCCAGCTATGGAGACATTTTGACGGATAGGAATTTTCACCGGACAGCCCGCAACCCGGTCGCACCTATTCGGGGACAGGGGGCGCGGGAGAGAGATCTATTTTGTCGTGGGGGACACCGTGGGATCACATCTGGGAGGGTTTCTTTAATGGTGAATAAAACATAAAACCGATCATTCCGGAGATGCCTCCGCAGTGTGTCCATTCCTGCCAACGGTGTCGACTCTACGGTTCCGACCAATTTTCTGGTTGTGAGAATGGAAAATCTTCTGTAGACCTTTGCGGCCCTCGACTCTGTTAAGCACTAGGGTGACACCCTGACGTGATTTAAGAGATAGGCGAGGTTTAGAAATTATACTTGAGAATGTAAAGAAAATGTGTTAGGCAGAGGAAACGGTACGAGGGGAGTTAAACCGACTGAAAGATATAAACTAAGGTTTAACCATCTATCCGAAATAAATGGGTATTCATGTATGAAAAGTGAAATGACGAAATACGTGAGGACCAAAATATCGTTTGACGTAAGACACAGAGTCATGGACATTAGACACGTTACTGTTATTTCCAACTTAGATAGAACTCGTCCTTGTTTACATAAATGAAAGCATGTATGACATAGATGTAATTGCTAATTTGTGTAAACACTAAGGAAATTTTACGTTGGAAGCACTTTATTTGAAGAATGTATAATTGATCGTATGTAAATAAAGTGTTTTTGCAAAAGTCAAAGTCTTCGTCTTCTTCTTCTTCTTCTCTCGGTTTTTTGGCGGATTGCAAACCACTTTAAGGTGCATACCGCCACCTCCGGAGTCGGCTTGACTCGGTTTGCATTATAAAGAATGCACACATGTGTTTAATCATTAATGTCAGATATGTACTAAGTAAATACATTTGTTCCTTCTCAAGATTAGATTCAACTTTATTGTTATTGCACATATTACAGGTACTGAGACAACGAAATGCAGTTTAGCTTCCAACCAGGAGTGCACAAAGCAGTAAAGTGAAAAGTAATATATACAATCTACAGAATAAAATATAGAATGAATTGAATGATGAATAAACAGTGAGGGGTATGAATACACTAGATATACACAGCAGCCTGTGAGCAGTATGAACAGTGTGTATGAATATGCTAAGATATATAAAGTATGAAAACGGTAAGCAGTGCAAGTATAGTATAACATATATAGATATTAATTTCATGATGATAAACATTGTGGAACAATTATGAAAAATGTTAATGGAGGGGGCGACGTAAAACTGACACAAAACAATAACAAACTTTTGCCGAGCCAATGGAGAGCTTCATCACCAGCACGTGGTAAAAACCACCAATGAGCGCTCAGCTCGAGATACCAGCGAGTCGTTTCCCATCAAGCATTTCGCATCCGCAGCCAGTGGAGAGGAACTGCGCCGCCTCGCTCTCAAGGCTGTGGGCGTCTTTGTCCCGCGAGATTTCAACGTCTCATGTAGGGCGAGCCTCCAGAGCAAGTCGGACAAAATGACTAACCATCATGCAACGCACTAGCAAGACGTTGGTCGAAATTGCGCAGGTCTGCGCAGGTCTTGCTTGTGTCAAACAAGCCTAAACACTTGCTAACACACACACATACACGGCAACGCCCACCACCAGCACACACACTATGCTAGATGCAAGTATCAGCGAGAGCAGCAGCGCATTTACAACTTGGAGATATAACCACTATTTTCAATTTGTGGGGATAAAGGACGCACAAAATATTACGGTCAAATGTAAACTGTGTTCAGGACAGAAAGCATTGTCCACATCGAATAACAGCAATGCCAATCTCCTGAAGCACCTAAGTAATGTACATGGGGCTATAAAACTAGTCGCCAAAGACCCCACCGTCTTAACCACCGGCAGTGACCCAGATGGAGCAACACCATCTAAACAGCCAAAAAACGATTTTTTTTAAATCGCCACATGTCACCCAGAGTNAGCTCCGAGTCGGCTTCTTCTTCTTCTTCTTCTTCTTCTTCTCTCGGTTTTTTGGCGGATTGCAAGCAACTTTAAGGTGCATACCGCCACCTCCGGAGTCGGCTGACTCCGGAGGTGGCGGTATGCACCTTAAAGTTGCTTGCAATCCGCCAAAAAACCGAGAGAAGAAGAAGAAGAAGAAGAAGAAGAAGCCGACTCGGAGCTGTCCGACTTCAGGCGAGCTTTTTGAGACCTCCCCCGGCTGCGATCGGCTATTCTCGTCTACTTTCGAGGCGAGCCGCAACGCGTCTCAAACAAGCCTATTGTCTGCAGTAGATGCAGTGTTGCTGGCGTTTAGTGATGGTTGCTTTAACAATTTTCGTATATCCATGATTATTATCCACAGATGTGTTTCTCTGCCGTGGAAGCACTTTGGAAATTATGCACGTGCAGCGGCGTAGGTCACGCGCACCTGACACAATTTGTGTTGTATTGTATTCTATTATTGTTGTTATATTTATAATATTTTTCGCTCCCTTCTCTTTTTGAATAGAGGGTGCATAACATTCAACTGGGGGTGCAATGCATGCCATGCACCCCCTTAGAACCGGGCCTGGGTGCACTGCATGACCTCCTGGAAGGGTCTGTCACCTGCCTCATGGCTACGTTAGCTGGTACCTGCAAACAAAGAGGAAGCTGCATGAGGAGAGGTCTGCAGTGGAGAAAGCACTAATCCTTTAACCAAGTTTATGTAGCACCATATTAATACAATTCACTTTAAATAATACAAAAGTAAAATCGGTTTTGATCAGCAATATAGGCCTGGTTAAGTTATCATAGTGGCTTTAAGCATAGAGATGTAAACATCATTTAGGTAAAAGTGCAAAAATATTATCTTAAAACTATATTTATATATTTCAACTGCCAAAGTAAGTATTGACAGAGTCGCTTCTATGTTGCACCTATAGGTGCTGGGTGGCAAATTCTATAATAATTATATTAATTATAACCTATTTGAAGTCAAAATTCAAATATCTAATTAATATATTATTTATTTATGCAAATCTAGATCTGTCAAAGTAAAACAGGTCTTCTCTGAAATGTAGTAAGAAGCAGGAAATGGAAATACTCAAGCAGTAAGTACATTCCGACACCTTCAGCTGTAATTCCTTGCGTGTGACTCAGATGTAATCACTTATCTTTTGTCCACGTTGCGGTGGTGAACCTGCAGAACGACTTTTCGCGTCTAATCTGATCTAAGTATAATGGATTTTAACGTTTTAAAAACCGGTTTGAGCCATCTCGACTTTTTTCCCTCCAGACCAGGTCTTTCTATGAACACGCCTCTGTATTTCTGTGATTACTTACTCTCTGTGTTGGAAAGACAGCTGAGTCAGCTGCTCTTCCAAAGCGATGATCTTCAGCCCCATGTACCCAGACGCCAAGAGCAGCAGCATTATCCTGCAAACAGACAATAAAGACGTAAATGCCTTGGAATTTAAACTCACAATGCAATTACAATGCACTTTTACCTTGGGCAGAAAGTGAGCAAACGGTCTCAGATGGTTTCATACTTAAGAGGCCTAACAAAAAGATAACAGTACATAGATTCTGTGTGAACAATGTGTTATAACATTTCTATAAATATCTCCAAGATTAAATTATTTTATTCTCCTGAGAGCTTGAGGCCAAGAGAGTCAACTTACCAAAATGTTTCTCTGTTCATCCATATTTAGTTGAACAATGTTTATTTTAGAGCCTATTAGTTATCTTTAAAAGTCCAAGCTTAAAGAATAAAAGTTCCTTGATCCTCAGCGGCCATCTTCTAAGTTTTTCCTTTAACAGGTTTTACTAAACACTATTATGGAGATTATTTACTTCAGTAAAAGTAGCGAATTCGCATCATAAAAATACGTAATTACAAGTTAAAATAATATGATCAGTCCCCGACTAGACCTAAATATGGAGTGTGGACTGCTACTTGGTGAGGTCCCAGTTCACTTCCTGCCCTGCCGACCGTGGTGCCCTTGAGTAAGGCACTGGACACTCCCCCACCCCCCTCACTCCCATTGCTCCCCGGGCGCTGTACAATAGCTGCCCACTAGCTCCCCACTAGCTGCCCACTAGCTGCCCACTAGCTGCCCACTAGCTGCCCACTGCTCCTAGTACTAGACTCCTGGTACTAGGATGGGTTAAATGCAGAGAACACATTTCACTGTGTGTGTGCTCTGCATGTGTGACCATTAAAGAGGGTTTTATCCCTCCGATTCTATCTATCTAAATGTATCTTAAGTGTGTGTTTAAAATTAATACTCACAGTAATACGAAGACATAGAAGAGAGCGCTGAGATCCCTGATTTCTCTGAGGAAGAAGAGTGGAACGACACTCTCAGCGATCCTCCAAATCCACTGTACTGCTGCTGGAGAGAGAAATCAGCTTGTTATTTTTTATTGGCAATGTCTATTATACCCTATGGGTAATAGATGATAAACTGACTGAACATTATCTAACAGCACAGTCAAAAAAAAGGTTTTTCTGTTTCGTTTTGAATAAAGCACTATGTGTATTAAGAGACAAGAAGAATTCTGTAATCCTCACTTATTTTGCAATAGTTTAGCTACTGTGTTGATGAGACTTTTTATTTAAGTTAGGACTTTTCAAACATGAAAAGATACAAACATTATTAGTTACATAAAGGGCAAAAACTCAAAGAGAGCATTTCTACTGTTATTCATGTTCAAATAAGATATTCCCCTTGCTCTGTGTTAGTCATGTAATACAAATAAAAAGGGTTGTCAGTTTGAATTCTTTTTTTTCCTTCTGGAGTTGTGCATTATAATGAGTGGAAGAAATTACAAAAGAAAAATGGTGTGGGCCCCTACACACACCTGTGCCATCTCCCTCTGTGCTGTTCTGACTGGTGGAATTGCCTTTTGTAGATCCTGAAAGTCACCAATATACAGTACGTTGTATCATTCAGTGGCACGGTTAAGAACAGTTTCAATATCATCATGCTAAATAGAAAATGGCATTATTGGAAGGAGATTAACATTATTCTGCTACATACAAGAGCCAAACTAAGCAATATCAACCAGTGATGTTTACTCGTCACTTCTCCCTGTCATATGTTTCTCACCTTCACCGGACATGTGAGGAAGGTCGTTGTTGAGATAAATGCTGTCTTCGCTGCCACGATCAAGATCTATGCTGTCCTCCAAACTGGAGTAACCGGAGGCCTGTAGACAAGGACAGAGAGGCTGAAGGTAAAAGACTTGTCGTGCATCATGAAACTCTTTGTTTGGTTGCATTAGATAAGCAGCGAACATACCACGTCATGGTCAGCTTCATTATCTGCAGAGGAGACATGAGGGCTGCCGTTCAAGTTCTTATCCTGTGTCAGACAAACACAGACTCATGAGCTTCAACTGAAAATGAAAGGTTTGACTGGTTTAATTTGATTCTTTGTAAGAAATGATGGAGATTTAGAGTAGTTCCTACCTGTTCCTGTGAACAGACAGTTTGGAGGAGTTGATAACACATCTCACGGTTCCACAAAGACACAAAGGTGCACTAAAAAAGAAGACAAAGAGGCAGGAGAAAGGGTTAATCATGGTGCAAACGGAATTATGTTAGGACTACAGATGTTAATTAGCATTTTTGCTTACTAAATCATTTTTACATCACATATTTAGCACTGTCCCTAAATGAGCCCCAAGTTTTGGAGATGGGCATTCAAATGTAATAAGGAAATCTGTTTCTATTGGCTTCCATCCAACTTTCAACTGCACAATCAACTGTACATCTGTAAAAAAAACTATATTTGTATAGCTCAAAATTGCAATAAAGAAAGAAAGTGAAGCAAAATAATAAAAGACAGATTTATTTGTTAAAGTGTGTATGCTGACCTTATCTCCATCAGCAGTTTGGATAGACAACATGGATAAACCTGAGTTGTGTTTCTTTACCCTGCAGACGCTCGACGCAGGAATCACCACCTGCAATATGTAGACATATTTGATTCTTGTTGCCTTTACAGCCTTAAAGAGGACATTGCAGTTGTTTTAAAACCTAATCTCTGGTTGACCTGAACTATGGATGATTATGGTAATTCCCAGGATAACAAATGTTAATGTTGACTGTTCCTTCTACAACAGTGAAATATTACTCCAAATTAAACAGATGTTGTCTTAATTGGACTGACTTTTTCGTGAACAAATTCAGAAAACCCAAGTGGTGCCACCATTTTTATGACAGTTCAGTGTTAACGTGTGAATAACGCTATATTTAAATAAGTCTGAGCATGTTACCTTGGTTTCTTTGAGCAGCACTGACGAGTAGAAACACACATAGTTCTCAGATACATAGAGTTTTCCATGATACAGCACCTCCTTCTGCAAGGCACAGGAGAATGCTACAATAGACACAAAGATATTTGTAGAAAGATAAGTGTTTCTCCAATTTAAAAACAACCCAGCAGCCAACCGACATGCCTGCAGAATCATGTACTAAAGTGTTTCAGTTTCCCATTCTTCGTTCATCACTTGGCAAACAAAGTATGGGCCAGCACTTAATCACACAGCGGGGACAAAGTGAAAAAAGGTCACAGCGTGATGTCATTTCCATAATCAATATCCAGGAACAAGTAACAGACTCACTGTGTGTAAGGTTCTCCTTCTCAGGGATGTCTGGGAAAATTTTGTGGAAGGTTTTGTTGTGCTTCAGGAAGCTCTGTAGGGAAAAATTTGCAGTGAGGGATGTATGTGAATAAAAAAAAATATAACAAGCAGGTTTGGTGTTTTAAATCCCTACTTAGTAGCAGCGAAAACAAGTTGACAGTGACATATCATCAGCTCCGTAGTTGATATGGCAAACTTGGGAGTAATTGCTCATTTGCATGTCTAGCTACGTTATCTGTCTGTCTCTGTGTCCGTCTGCTGTTTGGCACAATGCTTGTAATGTAAAGTGGATTTGAATGTACAGGTATGACTTAGTGACATTTAGTGGTGAGGTTGCAGATTGCAACCCTCTGCTCATCCTTCCCTTTCTAAGCAGTGAGTGCAAAACAGTGGTATCTTTTCAGGATCTTAACCTTGCTTATGTTCCAGTTAGTATATTGTAACATGTGTATATAAAACATGGTTGTTGCAGGCAACAGGAAGAAGAAGGATGTGAAGCGGACTTACAATGTTGCTGATAAAGCCATCTGTTCGATCGATGTTATCCTCTTCTGTGATAGGATCCCTGATGACACAAACAGGAAACATGCACCAAAACAAAAAATCAGATAACATAACAGGACTTTTTCTAGTTACAAGTATAACATTTACGATTTGCTCTTAATCCGTGAGTAGTGTTACTTGAAAGCAGAATATACCTGATGTACATGTTGGAGTTGATGCTGTGTTTTAGCTCCTGGATGTCCAGTGGGGCATCATACCGAGTGTAGCTGTGGCTAGATTTCTTACTGCTAAACCTGTTGCTGCCTCTTCTTCCGCCAAGGAGACCCAATCTGTCCAGGTTACTGTCCCAGGAGAGCAGGAGTTAAATGTCAGACAGATGCAGCTTTTATGTGACGCACACAGGTGGAACAAACATAGAACATAAAATAAAGATAAAACGCAAATGGATACACATGTTGGTTTTTCAGAATTCACAGAGATAACAACCCTTGCAGAATGATGGTAAACATATCCTAATGTTCACTCACACTGTTTTCATCAGGTGGAGTCTGATCTTCCACAGTAAATGCAGTCAATTTCCACAGATATAATAGAAATAATGACATAACACATCCACAGAGTGTAACAGAGTACAATGGTAGAAGAAGTGAATAAACTGTTCTTGTTTGTTTCTACATCCAATCTACTATCTCAGTTTGAGAAGTTATTTTATATCAAAGTTAAACTAGCTCCAAAGTCCAAACTTCTTTTTTTTAATACCAGCTGTATTGACTTTCTGCCAATGTCTGGGCTAATTGTCATCTGTTTAGAAGTGAAGTTAATCTGCAGTCTCACAGCAACAGCAGGGATCTCCAGAGAGTGGTTTCCCTTTTGTAAACCAGCAGCTACTTTCACTGGAGATATCAGTGTGCACGGCTGGTGCTTAAAGTGTATATATTTATATATATACAAATATTCTACAAAGAATTGAGGACAGCTTGAACAAAGTACAAGAGAAGTGTTTCCCTTTGGAACAACACAAAAGGGACTGAAGGAACATAACATAATAAGAGCAAGATAGGGAAAAATATGTATGTACTCACGCAGAGCTGTCCAGTGAGAAACGCCTGTCTTTAAGACTCATGGTGCAAGATAAATACTTCCAACTTGCACACTTGCACAGATTCAAACACATGCACAGACGCAGTGAAATACTTTCCCTATTGTCTTTGCCTCTCCCTCTTTTCAAAACGAATTGAAGTGAGATTCTAAGCTTTGTTTCCTATGAGTAAAGAAACAAAAGGTGATGACAGCCTACTTTTAAGAATGGCCTCCTACTGTTAAGTCTACCAATCAGCTGTGAGGGGTGGGGATTCTCACAGAAACTTAACCAATCGATGAAGGTATGGTTAAGAGGCCTCACCTTTTTTGTTCCTCATGGAAAGGTGCTATGGGTGGTGCTACTTACCCTGACCTCTTGACACACAGACGCACGCCTGTAAGCACATGCCCAGAGGTATGCAGAGAGCATCATCACAGCCACAACAATGTCTCCTGACAGCTAACCTGCTCAGCCTGCACAGATACAGATCACAGGAGGAATGATGCTCTGATGTATCACACGGCATGACCTAGCAAAAACATAAATCCACAAACTTTCATTCAAAATGCTTTGAAACTTGCTTATTATATGCACAGTCATGTGTTGTAATACATAAGCTTGGTCCTTGGTAAACAAGGATACATGAAATAAATGCATCACATGCTCAGACTTCTTAGCATGCACACCTTACGCAGCGTCCACACAGCTGCGTGCGTTGAAGCTTGCCGGTGAGCTTGTCTGAAACTCGACCAACAACCAATCACATGAATCTCCCGCCTCGGACACACAAGCACGCGGTTTGATTGGCTAGAGCTTGTACTGGCATATGATTTGATTGGCTGACGCTTCAGCCGAAGCTTCAAAAGTTTTGAAGCGAGCAACGCGAGCAAAGCGAAGCAACGCTCCCACAATGCAGTTCGGCAAAGTGTGACGTTACCCCATTCAAAGTGAATGGGCAAAAGCGTTGAAGCTTCAACGCACGCCGCCATGTGGACGGGCCGTTGGAGAGAAAAAAATTCAATTCTTGAAGTTTAGCTCGGATGATGGCGCGTATCGAACTGTTCTGATATTCAGACTCTGTAGCTTGTTGTCTTCCTTGCTATGATTTTAAAGTCATGTTGTTTGTATTTTACAATGTTATGTTCATGAGTTATTGACCCGCGAAATTCGAATCTGTCAATAAACATGTCCCCTCGCTCTGAGCGTTCTCTTGAGGTGTCTTTCACTTATGTGAAACCCGTGCCTATTGCCAAGCACTCATGTTATATCTTTATATTTAAGGCCAAGCTCAAAGTAAAAATCGATGATCCGCTCCATTGTTGTGGTTTCTGTGTTGCCGAACTGACCAGGAAGTACATTGAGCTAAATGAAAAGTTTTGCGAGATCTCGCAAAAGTATTGCGATATCTCGTAAACGTTTTGCGAGGTCTCGCAAAACATTTTTTATTTTATTTGTTTCAAATAATTGTTTTCTTCTTCTCCATGCCCCCTAGGGGGCTCCGTGCCTAGGGGCTCCGTAGTACGGGTGAAGCAGCAAAGTCAGTCCCATTTATTTTATACTACGATGATAAAAGAAAGCTTTTTCAATGAAATCGCCAAAATCTTTAAAAAAAGATTTAAGGGTCCAATGTCATACTTTTCTGGTTATTACCTGTCCCCTTGTGTGTTATGAAGGTTTTTATGCATGTAAACGGTCTGCAG